GCAAAACAGGAGAAATTCTAGGTAAGTTACTGAGAGTCAGTGTTTCCTGATAAAAGCTTTCCCTGAGCCTTAAGTGCACACTTTTTACACTTGTTTTCCTTCTCAAGCTTTTCTATAACCAAGATTTCTCTTTTTTTTTAGCATCAGTCAACGTGGGTGGAATCTTTGTTGAGCCACATGCAAGTTTTAAAAGAATTAGTTTTTCCACTTATGCTATTTTATCAGCAGATCCTTTTTTTTTGCACCTGGCATACCTAATTATTTGCCTATCCAGTTTCTGTTGTAACCTCTAAATAGTGGCTAGATGCTAAGCAGAAAGAAAAAAAACGTTGCCATAGCACAAATCTTCAGCCGTTGATTTGTTGCTTCACAGACAACTAGGTGTAATCCGTTTACCTGGTAAAGCAGGGACTGTTACATGGGCTTTTTGGTTTTATTCCACTGCCTCACAATGGACAGTTTCCATCTCATTCTAGAACACTGTCTCCCTGCCTGTCTCCTTCAGACACTTGGTAGGCTTCCTTGGGCATCCAAAGAACATTGGACAAATGCATTCATCTTTATTGAAGCTAGCTTCCCAGACCACATGCTCAGTACTTTTTAAATATCTCAAAATCAGATGTACAACCACAGCCATTGGTGGTTGACTAAGCTACCTCTCCCACACTGGGCAATACTGCTTTCCTATCTTATTAATATCTCAACAGAATATCTCTCCCACTAAAGTGCCTGGGAATTTGCCTATGTGATCTCTAAGCTTCCTAACAAAGTAGTCATTATTATTCTCACTTTGAGAAAGGAAAACTGAGAATCAGAGAAGTGTCATCTAAAACCACACAGCTTGTAAGAAGCATGTGAATTAAGTCCGACTGGCTCTTAAACCTATGTTCTTTTCCTTGTATTTTTAGGTCCCCAAACATCCCCCATGGGTCATTTGCTCAATAGGATCATTGTTGCTCATTACTGTGAAGGCCCTGGACCCTTGTACTGCCTCTTTAAGTTCCTGGGGCCATGGGTCCTTATCCAGACACAATTCTAATAATTCAGTTGGATCTCCAGGTGAATAGATTCTTTTGAAGGAGGAAATATAGAGGTAAATTTTAGGGGGAAAAGGCTGCCAGGAGTTAACTTTCCTAGGCAAGTGTGTTACACAGGACTGGGGTCCATATCACTTTATTCACAGAGCCTTTTCTCATAGCAACTTAGGGCAAGGTTAGAATTAGTAGTTCTTTACAGCCATTGTACTAGGGCCTCTTCCCAAAATCTGTTCCTTAGCCTCAGAAGACACTTCTGCAAATGAGTCAGACTCCATGTGCACTCACCTGCAGCCCTGAAAATCCCTGGACTGTGCTGGCACACAGAGGGAATATGGCTATGAAGTCACCATCAGACCCATCTCAACAGTTAGGGGTTTAGTGGTGGTATGGCAGAGAGATGAGGTAGGATTGCAATATGGACCTACCTACTAGAGTAGGAAAGCAATGTATACCACCATTAATAAGCAGAAAAGGAGCCAATTTCCGTGCAATTCTGCAAATCAGCCAATTCTGGCCTGATTCTTATTCTGTAGCCTGGAACTGCCTTTCTTTAGCCCTATTTCCTTTGTCCCTCCGCTCCTGTATCTGAAACCCAGATCAACTAGGAACTCAGCACAATGGTTGGGGCCCCTACTCTATGGCTAGGTTAGGGCCCCAAATCCCCTCAATAACCATAAGCATTCAATCTGGAATCTCCCAATTTTTCAGCTATCAATTGTCTCTCAGGATGGTTTGAATGAAGACCTGCCTAGATGCAGGCAGTTGAACTGGGTGACTGTCAATCATAAAATGCCAGGCCGTATTAGCTAAGACATAAGTGTACGTTAAATTTACTAGATTTATCTGAGTTCGTTGAATTTAGTCTACCCATCAGTAAAATCACTAATAAAAAAAGTCACCAAGAACAGTGACTGTGAAGGGGTATGTGGGGGAGGGGGGGGATTTGGTGAAGAGGGAAGCCTAGTAAACATAATGTTCTTCATGTAATTGTAGATTAATGATACCAAAAACAAAAGTCACCAAGAGGCATCCAAAGGATTTGAATCAGCTCTTTAAAAAGATGAAAAACTCAACCAGCCCCATAGTTCATTTTATGGGCAATCCTACCCCCTACAGGTATTATTAAAGAAAAATGGAGCAACGCTTGCTGGGAAACTTATTCCATTTTATTTGTGGCATTGGGTCCCATTACCTGAGGATTGTTGTCAATGTCCCCCTTCCAACCTCAAGAAACTCACTTAAGCATATATACTATCACTTACTATCTAACTACAAAGCAGAAACAGATTGTAAATCCAAGTTAGCCGTTTCTACAAATGCCAGGAATATTCAAATGTGATTTCAGATGATAGAACTTCTTGGGAATTATTTGTATTATTTTAAAATAATGGAATTAAGAGAAACGACATAAAACTTCTTGTACTTGCTCCTGCAATAAATACATGTAACAACCATTATTTATTGTCTGCTCGTAATGCTTCAGTTGTGATGGGCTTCCCTAATTTTTAATAATGGAATCCTCAACCAGCTAAGGCCTTTGCTAATTCTTAATGGTTACATTTCAAAACTTAATAGGAGTGTAATCTTTTAACCTCAAAAGAGGAGAAAAATGGTAATTCTTTAAGCGTGGATAGACACTCTAAACCACAGCTTTCACACACAATTTAAAGAATGCTTATTTAGTTCAAGAATAGTGTAGGTGAGCAAGAAAGGTGTGCATATCTACAGATGAACTTTTAAAACACATTGCCATTTGCATCCTACCCACTTTAATCACTCTCTCTCTCATATTGTTCCAGAACTGCACTATCCCATATGGCAGCTGTTAGCCACTTGTTGGTATTAGCATTTGAAATGTGCCTTGTCCAAAATGAGCTGTACTGAAAGTGTAAAATACCAGATTTTGAAGACTGTATATGAGAAAAAGCAAATCTCAATAGTTTTTATATTATGTTAAAATATTTTGACCTTATTGGGTCAAATAAATGTATTAAAATTAATCTCACATGTATCTTTTTACCTTTTGTAATGTGGCTGCCAGAAAATTTTCTATTACATGTTAACTTGTACTGTATTCCTACTGGACAGCACTATTCTAGAACATTTGGTAGACAGGTGGCCAAGAGTTAATTTATTTAAAAAGTAGGTACATCACAATCATTAACACCATCCACTGAGAAACTCGGCAAGATTTCAGAGGCTTCAAGTCCCCATCCTGCCAAAAGTGGAGAGAAACCTTGCACCAGCACAATGCCTGGAACACAGAAGCACAATACACGTTTATTAGCCAAGGAAACAAACTCTAAATTCAGATGAGTCCTTGTTCACTTCATTTACTCTTCACTCCTCCCCTCAAATTATCATTTGAATGGGGATGGATAACACTATGCATATCTTTGAAGGTTTTTATAATACTTTATTAACTTAGACATCTCAGGAAATGCCTGCTGCTCGTAAGGATTAGATCATTCTCCATGTTTCCAATGTTGAATGAGGCATGATAATCCTTTAAAAATACTCAGCAGCCATTTACTTATTCTAAATACTGCACCAATATTTTGAAATGCATTGTTTGCAACTGCCATTAGAGCTTGTAGTACATTCTTCTGAATATGCTTAAAGGTGACAAATCTCCACTGAGAAAAAGTTACTTCTTGGAAACAGCCAAGATTCATCACAAAAGTGGCAAATGTAACAGGGCCGCTTCTCTCAGTTGCTCATAAAATTGTTTCTGAAGGCAATTTTAAAGAAGTTCCAAATATCTCCTGAGCAATGATGACATTCTTGGAAAGTCTATGGCTGCCCAAGACAACTTTAAAGGGCATTTACTTGGATGCCAATAAGCTGCTGGCATGCTAAAAAAAGAAAACAAGCTGCAGCTTTTCCTAGGTATTTTGTATTTCAAATTGTAGTAATTAGGACCAAAAGCACATGATGTGGGTAAGGGGCTGTGATGTCCATTAAACAATGAAGATTCCCAAAACTATTCCAGCCTCCTTCCTAACTTTGGGAAATGAAACCCCTTAATACACAAGGTACTATTGTATATTTTGGAAATGTCTAAAGTGATTTACTGAATTTACAATACATGACCTTTAATCTTATTTGCCCTTAAGTTTTAAGTTTTCCTTTGCAAACTAGCTAAAACTGGTGTTTATTCTCATAAATCACATCTCCTAAGGAATCTAAGTATAGGGCTTGAGATAAACACTAAAAAACAAACTAGGGGCCATATAGCAGCAAGATGAAGAGCACAATGAAAATAAGCTCTGGAATCAGAGATCTGACTGGAAATAATCTGCCACTTACTATGTAACCTTGGGCAAATTACCAAATGCCTGTATCTCAGCTCCAACATCTGTGAAACAGGGTGGTAATAATACACTTGAATCACTGTGAGAACTAAATAAGAGTGCATAAAACAATGCTTGACAGCAATCAGAAAACTTTAATACAGCTATTAGTAATCCATTTGCAAGGACTTAGATTAAAATCTTGCCTAAGACCCTAGCTTTAATTTCCTATTTTTAAAAATGACCATTCAGAGTAGTTCATAATCTACTGACTTACCAACCCTGTATTCTAGGTCCCTTTTACTGAGTTTCCAGCAAGATGCCTGCACATTGGCTTACTTTGTTGCCTAGAATGTAAACTTTTCAGTGTTCTTGAATTTCAAATAGAATCATGAATGACACTAAAAACCCCGGTTAAGTTCATGAGGCAAATTGTTGACATCAAAATTATCCCAAGGAACTGAGTTCCCATTCAATGACAGAGCTCTGTAGGCACCAGAGGAAAATAAACTATAATAAAATTCTCCATTGATAAATGAGTATCAGTATCAAAGGGCAGGTATCAGAATGTGATGATCTACTTAAGAAATCAGAACTTAGTGGCTTAGGCAACATGGGTAAGAGGTTGGAAGTAGGGATGAAGACAAAAGTTGCATGAGCACACATGAACATCTAGACAAGCTTTTGTATTTATTTATAGAAGTTAAAGGAGTAGTCAGGGCAATGGTAAGAATGCAAGAAATAGCAAAGATGCACATACTTAAAATGTCATTTGCTTAGATCTTTCCAGGAATCATGTACTGGAATATACTTTAATCTTTTACCACTCAAAGATTAAACCATTAAGCTACAACACAGAATGGGTTATTCCATTAACCAGTACTTGCCCATACTCATAGCAGGGAGGGGAATCAAAATCAAGGCTGGACTGTAATTCCACTTGATTCTAAAAATCAGGTCTATTTGACATCAGTTTGAAGCAACAGAACCTTTATCATATTCCTCTTGTTAAGAAAAACCCAAGGAGAGATGATCAAGCACAAATGATCACTTCATGCATTTTATTGATAGTCTATATTTTAAATCTGCAGTATGACATCTTACATAGGGAAAAAGCTTCTTCTGAAGATAACTATTAATAATCAAACCAGCTTTAATATGACTGACCTTTCAAGGTCTTGTTTTGCATTAAACAAGTTAATTTTTAGCAGGTGTAAAGCACTGTACAAAAAAACTGGGTACATTCTCAAATTTTAATACAGGGCTTCCCAACCAGGAGTCTGCTAGATAGATACTGAGAAGGGTGTTATGTTCAGGTTTAAATTAAAAGAAAATGGGAAACCAGATAATGCAAGCCAACCAAATTCACTTCACTTTGTACTCCTTTCTGCTTTTTTCAAAGTCTCTCCCAGAGGTCAGGAAGCCCTGGTATAACAATCACTTTAGTCTTTACAGAAATACATTTATGTGCTTCATGTTCAAAGACATAAAGGCAGCCTTTTTTATTCTTCCCTCTCCAAATCCCTTCAGGTTCTTAGACGCTTCAGAAAGCTCTCCAAGATTGCTGCCCCATTCTTTGAATCCAAGTAAACACCTATACCAAAGCAGCTCTTCCTGGGAGAAGATAAAATAGGCACAGATACATAACAAGGCCAACTGCGTACCTACTCAACTTGATACCTATCACTTGGCCCTACATCTTTTAAAGCAGCACCAGGGACAAATGGAGCTATCAAGAGGTAAAATCCAAACACTGGACAGTTAAAACATACGTAAACCAATCACTTAAAAGAATGCTAGCAGAGGGTCACTAAATAAAAGTTAAGGCTGGGCAGCTGGTTCAACTATACCTTGGTATTAGAATAAATCTGCAAGATGAGGAACCCTGAAACAACTAGGCACAGCGGTAGGATGGGGTTCACTTTCACTGCATGTCTTTAATAAGGTATCACTCAATCCAAGTGACTATAAAGCAGCTTATGGGTCTTCAGTAAACAAATCCTAATAAAAACAAGTGCCTCACTGTAATTTTGTGTTGGAGGGTGCGCCTATTTCCTTCAAACATGAATTATAACACCTGTACAGATATGAAAATAATCATGAAGCTGAAATAAACTGTTATTATTACTTAAAAGAGTTTCAACACCTCAATAACAGCTCTATTCCATGCTGTATTTTAGATACAAAATGTAGTTACATATATCAAGTGAGACAGCTCACTTGTTGGGAATATATTTTAGAAGTGTTCCTGTTAAGAACTCAATTTCAGAAGGCTACAAATTTTAAAGGGAAAGCACTGAACTCATTGCTATTTAATTGCTTATTAAAAATTTGATTTAAAAAATAAGTGAAATTCTAGTTCCTCACACCTTATACTTTAACTTTCCAAATGAAGCATGTTGATTTACATTTTCAAATGTTCTTTTGAAAGCACACAATTTACTAGATAACTTGATGAATTACAGCACTGTTATTGAATATTAAACATACTGAAGAATTATGCTATACTTAGAGGGAAAAAAAAACGCCTGACACTTTAACATGTGCCTTATCAATCTCCTGCATTACTAAGGTACAGAATACTTTAGAAAGTAGCAATCAGCATAGTCTTAAAAGACAAGAAAGAATAAAAGTGCCCTGTAAAGGTGGCTTCTATGTATGTAACATTTGTAATACATTTGACAGGGAAGCCAGTAAGGTAAAACTTAAAAACTCAAATAAGGCAGGTTACGAATATTTTTTGTTCACATAAGAACAAAAGACTAGAACAGGGAGGGTGTGGGGTGGTGGGGGGAAGTTTCCTCCATCTTTAAAAGAAAAGTATTAACAACATTCACAAGGTGCCAATTCATTCTAGCAAGCTGTAAAAATGGTCTTTTAAAGAGGCATTTTACAACATTTACTCCCTATTACATGGGTATTTTGGAAACTGAAAGTCATGGTTGGTGCTTGACCCATTTCATGTCATGGACATCTGGGAAGCAGGTGGTTAGAAAGAAAGTATATTAAGTGATAATCCTTTATAAATATGAGACACTGACACAGTAGGAGAGAATACTTGGCACAGAAAGGACATTTTCCCAGGGGGAGAAAATTATTCAAGTTAACACTTATAGCTAATCCGTTTCCTAATATTCTGGTGCTAAATGTTTTGTTATTGACTGTACGATTCTTACTTATACTCCCACACTAATGTGAATACTTTTCTCAACTCCCATCTCCATTAACACCACTGAGGTGTAACTAATGTGTTCTTTTTTAGAGCAAATATTCCAAATTAATAACATGAATCAATTTCTAGTGTTGTTATAAAGTCTGCAAGCTTTAAACCTAACTTGCTCAATTTTGTTTCTAGAACTAATAAATCTCAGCCTTGTTAGCTGCTTGGAGTTAAATAACATTAACACCTCAAACAGTTCAGAACAGTAAGTGAATTTATCTGAAAGAGTAAAGGAAATTCAGTTTTTAGTACTTTTCCCTGTGCTTTGAACAATGTAATTTCCCAACATTGTTTTTTCTTGTTCCTAGTATACTACATGAAGTTGAATCTGGGCCTTTAAGATAGAACCTTTCTGTAATAAAGAAAAAGTGCTAAGATACAAAATGAAATGTAAAGTCTTTTTCAAGAAAATACTCCAAGAGAATAGGTGTTCGGATGCTGTTGAGAAGACTTGTTTTCCATTGTACATCTGACACCTACAAATGACCTTGTCGTTTCAATGTCCACAACACTAGTTAAGTATGTATTAGTCAAAGACCTTGCAAAACAAACAAAAAATTAAGTAGCAAATTCCACTAAAATATTGTATGCATTCTACATAATCCAATTGAAATTAGTGAGTGCTATTAAAAAAAGATGTCTGCATGCACATATTCAGTATGTGCATTCTACTGAAGGCTAAAAAATAATTCTATTTCCAGTGTTTACCAACAGTTTCAATACCTACACTCATAACCAGCATTCTGCATGAATTACCTCTTACTTTAATACTTAACAAATGAGTAATACATCTTGGGAGGTTAGGGAGGTACTTGTTGTAAATAACCTTCTTTTCTTAGAATGTGCTGCAGTTGCTTTTATACTATTATAAATGAACACCCCCTATAATAAGAGGACATTGTATATCAGGAGGAAAATGGGTTTGTTTTTAGCCAATAAGAACTACCCTGAAAATCTGAAAACCAGAGATTACAGTCTTAGGAAAGGAGACAAGGACGCTCAAAATATAAAGGAATCCTGACTTTTACATGGACAATTTTTTTAAAAGATAGAATGTATTATGTAAGCGTCATAAACAGTGAAATCTACTTGCATTAAAAAAAATAAGTGAAGCTTTGTTTGGACATTATTTCCCTGCAAGAGCAGTACATATCCTTAGTAAACAACTACCATATTTACAAGTTAATTTCCTTGATACTTAGGTAGGATTGAAAGCCAGAGGAAAACATGAAAGGAATGAGCTTTGAAATAATCTTTACAGCTGAGGTGATGGCAGTTAAGGTAGCCAGAGAATTCCTAAACCAGGCTTGTTTATTTTGTAGAGTATCTGACTATGCCTGGGTAGCTTGCTCACTTTGTTAAAGGCCAAGGACATGTTCAATTCCTCTTTGGGCCCATTAGCTTTTCCCAGAAAAACACAGTCCTCCACAGTCAGATTAGTCCTAACCTACACCAGCCTCAAAAGAGAAATCCAAGGAGTACTGGGGTTCTTTACAAACCTATTCTTATTACTAAGGAAACAACATAAAGTGATGTCCCATAGAGCATGAGTCAGCAGTCTCACCTTCAAATATGGGCAGCACAATTATTAAACTGAATTTAAAATAACTCATAACCCACTTTCAACAAAGGATAAAAATCCCTTAATTCTTCAACTGGTCTCTAAATGTGAGATGTTCAGTCTGTGTTAGAGAGGGCAGTAATGAAATACTATCAAGTGTGCACTGGTACCTTAAAATGACAAATCTCGAAAGCAATGCAAATTCGAGACTTTCCTATTAGCACACACCTGTACCAACTTCAATTCTTAAACTAAAAGTGGTTTATAGTCTCTTTCCTCCACCTTTTTTTTTGAGGAGCAGACTTGTAAAAACATCAATGTAACCTGTGCTAGTGGTTTGCTTTTCTTAAAACAAAGCTCTGTCAAATTTGCTGATCTACTTCATCTACTTGAGTAGAATACTGTGTCAAGGATCTCACCGTACAAAACCAGTTCACGTTTGCATGATTACCGTCTTCATGAACAGTTTAAATTCTTCAGAGCAGTTTTCTGTACTCCCGTCTTTCATTTCCTGCCTAAATCCAAGTTAAAACACGTAATTTCTATTGGTCTTCAATGCAGTTCAATTGTGCACTGTCTTTCGCATGTCACAGTAGCTGTTCACATACATTAAATATATAGATATGTTCTGCTCTTGACATTTACACACTTACAAAAGCAGCTTTGTACTTCGTTTGGTGTGTTTTTTACTATGTTGGCTCACAAAAAGCAGTTTTTTCATTTCTAAGCATGGTACTTTACAATTTTTAATGCATTAATATAACAGTGCATTGGAAAAGTACTGAGCCTCTACAAAATAGCTTTACATTTTTAAACAAATGAATGTGATATTTTTTCACTTACACAAGTATAGGCTTTTTTAATATTTCCACAAGATAAATATCTCAATTAAACTATAAGCTCACTCTACAGTGTGCCAGAGTGATGGGCTTCAGAGAGTTTTACACTTAGAAGATCCTAACCTTAGTGTTATTTACACCAACATGTCCAATATCACCTCATCTGAAGGTGAACAAATAATATTCAGCATGTAGCTGAATTTGTGTCAACTAATCACTAGGAATGGTATAGCTTTAAGCAATCACTCAGGAAATACATACTGTAAAACTTGGGAAATTTCCTTCACCTCTCCTATGGCATGGGGAATTTTAAAGATCAATGTGAAACAGGTAAGAGCCATTGCTAAGGCAGATCTTTTCAGATAACAAAGGAGAAAATGACAAGCGTTCATGATAAATCATCAGTAATATCAATTACTGGTACTGAAATCAGATTTTTATGTATTAAAACACTGCTTTTTAAAATATTTCCTTTTATCCTGGAACAGAAATTGGAAAAAGGACAATGATTCATTAGAAAGCAATGACTCAATTCAGGTTGCTACTTTACATTTAAGCACCACTCAAAAAGTGGACATAAAGCAAGTGATTCCTGTTTGCCCATCACTGTAACAGCTTCACAGCTGAGAGTTCAGACCTTAAACAATGCTTTCTCTGTTACCAGAAGCTAAGACTGCTCTGCGACAAATAGGACAAGTAGAATTCTCAGATAACCAGCGATCGATGCAGTGGACATGGTACTCATGGGAACAAGGTAGTTTACGAAGTTTGTTGCCTTCTGTGTATTCTGTAATGCAAACACTACATGTTTTTAATGCATCATTTTCACCAAAACTTCTCATTGCCAAGTTGTCAATCTGTTCTTTGGTGAGTCCTCTAGGTTGGTCATCATCATCCTCATTTAAGAGGAAAAACTGAGCTAGACTAAGGAAGGGCAAAGAGCCACTTTCATCAAATGTTACTGGGGCCCTGTGTCGACCCTCTCGCCTGGTACCTGATGAACCTGATGATGAACTTCCTTCATTACTGCCTTCAAACACCTCTGAACTAGTTTCTGAACTTTCACCACTGGAGCTGGAACTAGGACTGGAACTCGAACTCGAGCTGGAACTTGAACTGGAACTCGAATTGGAACTTGAACTGGAACCAGAACTGCTACTACCACCAGAACCCCCTCTTCCATTCCGTGACTCTGCCCTTTCAACATTTCGACTTGAGACTGAGCCACTAGGTTCTGAATCACTATCACTGTACATAAAGTAGCTTAACTCACCAAAACCTGTCATTATCTGCCTTAACATGGTCTGAATTGCAACAGATGTAGTTTCACTTAAACCAGTGTTTAAGATTCTACGAATTGGAATTCTGATGGTACTGACATAGGTTCTCACACCTGCCCGCTCAGAACGTGAAAATGTACGCCTAAAACCTCCTCGTTCACTTTCGTAAGTGACGGTGTTGTTTGGTGTCTGAGACCGTGACCGAGTTCTGCTAGCTATGCTATCTCTCTGCCGATATTCTCCAGGACGAACTCTTCTTACTTGAAGATCAAGGACTATGGTTGGAGGTCTCTGTCCTGATCCTGTAGATTCACCACTGCCACTTGCGTCTGAAGAAACTGCTCCCTGCGGGGCATTTCTTGCTCCAGAAGCTGCAAAAAGACCTCTACCTAGCAAGTCAGGTCCACTTATTTGCTGTCTCAATGTCACATGATGTCGGGTTCTAGAACTTCCTTCTGTCTCATTTACCAAAGGATGCTCAAAAGTCTGAGATGAGATGCTATGATGAGATCTTCGTGGAATTTCACTCATTGGATGCAGAGGTGACCTACTTCTTTCAGCTCTAGCTCGTGTTCTCCGATGGTCTGGGCTCCTGCTTCTTGCTCTTCTCTGACCTCTGGTAGGTGGGACTTCTCCCGTTAATGCGTCAGTTGAACTTCGTTCTGATCTGGATGGCCTTGCAGCTACTGATTCAGAGCGTGGATTTTCCACTTGCCTTGGGCTGCTGTTGTCCATACTTTCTCCACTAGAACGTCTTACAGATGGCTCATTTTCATTCTCTGGATTTTGGCTCCCATTATTACGGTTAACATTGATCTCTAAACTGAATCTGAAATCACCACTGTTTGGATTAGTCCGGCTCACTGCTCTCCAAGATTGGTTTCCTCTTTGCCCACTTCTTGTTGTATTTCCAGTTTGTCTGACAGAGTTAAGCCAGTCTATTATAGAGTCACCATTAGACACATCATCTGAAGAGTCTCCACCTGTTTTAAAAAAAGGGAGGGGAGAGGGAGAAAGAGGAACTACTAAATAGAACAATCATATAATAGTGCTCTGAAACTTTGTATTAGAAAAAAAGGGCAAGGATGCTGAACAGATTTCATATTTACAGATTTTTTTATAAATTATGCTGCACAGATTTGCAAGTAAAGGCAGGAAAGTTTCAATTCCATTCATTAGAAAGAGCAAGATAGTCCTAGAGAGACTCAGAGAATTTTGTAAAGGGTATCTAGAGGAAGTCTATTTTCAGCACTTCACCACATATAGAGCCTACAGCATACCACTGTGGACTGTCAGAGACATCTTTTCCAGCCCACTGTCAAAACACTAATGTAATCAAACAAGGTAAACACTAATTAAGGTCGAGGGCTACTATTTTAGTCCAAATCACATTTTTGTCAAATTTTTATTAGTCTACAACATTTCTTCTAGGATCTTGACTTAAGTGCCTTTGATAATACAATACCTTTTAAATAAAAGACTGCTGTAAACCACTGCAAAAATATAAGGTTTATAGGTTTAAAAGTATTTGAATACTTCATGATACCCAGATTTTAAATTAAAATAGAATGGAGATCAGACCAAATGAATAGCCTGAACCTAGCATGGTACATATAATAGCACACTGAAGAACCAAACTGTTATAGCCTCTTAAGTTAGATAGTCAAATTCCCTCCTTCACACTGGGAGAGATACACCAGACCTGAGGTAAGAGCAGGATTTCTCAACAGTGGCATGATTAACATTTTGAGCCAGGTAATTCTTTGTTGTGTGCTCTGCATTTCACTATGTTAGGATGTTTAGTAGCATCCTTGGCCTCCACCCACTAGATGCCAGTAGCAAACCCCAGTTGTGACAACCGAAATGTCTCTAGACATTGTCAATGTCCCCTAGGGGGCAAATTTATACCCCTTTGAGAACCATCAGGTTAGAGAATACAGTATTTCTTCCTGCTGGTGATGAACTGACATGTTTCTACGGAATAATTCAGTAGGTAGGAGGACATTTCAGTAGATGTGATAATCAAGAAAAAACATCACATAAATAGGCCATTTCTTATTATGTCCCTACTGACACAAACAACCCAAAAGTGAAGCAGGAAAAAAATCATGGTGACAATTACTTAGCAACAAATTAATTTGTGCCATTTATGGATAATCTTTGGCCGACATTTACAGTTATGAAGTTCCTTATCCACTCCATCCTCTACGCATTCTCCCAAACCAAGTATACCTCTATTTTCATCTGAGTTTTGTGGTGGCGGGCCCTCTTTAATTTGTTGTAGTCTTCTCAGCAACTCTTCCTCAGTACTTTCACCTGAAAATAGTTTAAAAATGTTTGACAAGCTAAAATAAAAACCAATACTTATACCCATCTGAGATGAAAACCAAGAGGTAAGTAGGAACCTGGGTAAACTTCACTTCTTGGAGCACATGACAACTTATATTTATACATGTTTCTTTCCATCTTATTAAATGCTTTTGCACACAACACCTCATTATTTAAAACTCCAACTCTGGGAGGTGGGTATTATTATTTGCACTTTAAAACAAGAAAACTGTGACTGAATAAGAGACTGATGGGCTAATAAATGGCAAGGCCAGAATGCCATCTTAGGCATTCTGATTCAAGCCTGGTATTGCTGACTCAAAATGCAACTTCCTCAAATAAGAGTCACGCTAACTAACATCTTACCTTTTAAAATTTAAGCAATCACTCAAAGGTTAGAATTAAATACAAATGAGGAGGAAGGGAGATAATGTATTTAAAGTAGACTCAAATGGGACCTAAATGGGCAAAAGAGAATAACCAAGCACAAAGTTCTGACTAACTGAGGACTTTAAACAAGGTTACCACTGGAGGATTAGGATTAGGACTTAATCAGGTAATCAGAGATAACAAAGAGAAAAGTAGCCTAGGAGCTAAAGTGCCAGTTGTCTCTTCCATACTTAAGACTCATGTCTCATAAGTTAAACAAAGCTAACTAACAACAAAGAGACTGTTCTTTTTAGTCCAGATCACATTTTGTTCCCACTCTTTGATTTAGCTTGCTATAAATTCACAATATAATTCATAAACTAAAAAATGTGAAATAGATTCCAAGTATGAGTAGACAGAAGCAGGTTAAATTCAGCAATAATGGCATTTTATATCCATTGTGTTAAAAATCGTACTTCATAATGACTAAAGAAATGTATTTTAAAAATAGGTTATTTTTACACACCAGCAATTTACATATATAAATCCTTAAACTACACATGGCATACCTGGGGTGCCTAGCAAATTGTTATCCCTCATAAGCCTATAATCTTCTTCACTCAGGTTATTTACAAATTGATAGAAAGCTTCTTCCCGATCCAATCGGTCCATCTGACTTCTGCGTTGTGCTGCAGACTGATCACCACTTCCTTTATCGTTAGAATCTGAGTTTTCCATCTTGATAAACAAGTGGAAAAATATCTAAAAGGAGAAAAGAGATCAATATTGAAAACAGAAGTCAGTATGTCTATAGAACAATTCTAATTATGTGAAAATCCAGAATGTAGGTCAAGATGTGGATTTTAAGACCTCATGTGAAGGAAATTTCATAACATTAAAACTAAAAAACACAGTTGTACCAGGATAAGAGTAAGACAGGGGTTGACAAACTATGGCCCATGGGCCAAATTCAGCCTTGGTGCCAATTTTTTTCTCCTTGAGATCTAAGAATGCTTTTTGCACTTTTAAATAGTTTTTTTTAAAAAAAGAGAGAATACTTTGTGATGTGTGAGAAGTACATGAAATTCAAGTTCAGTGTTTAGTTTCACTGGAATACATTCATTTACACATTGTCTACGGCTGCTTTTGTGCTATAATGGCAGAGCTTAGTTGTGACAGAGACCATATGGGGCACTCTCACTGCTTTGCACTGGTAAGCTGTGCAGCATAAATTGCAGTGATGAAATTACAACTTGACAGCATTTCAAGTACCATGCATTATCAACCATACTGTGACATTCAAAAAAATGATTGGTACACACTCATCATGTCCAATGAAGAGAGAGTGGACTTCAAATGTCACCCTTAAAGGCACAGTGGAGTGTGGATTATTTTGTTATCAGATTAGATGGTAAATACTATGGTTACTTTGCTATGGCACTATAACTGAGCTAAAATAATAAAATACATGCTGATACTACCAGATTAAGTGGGCATCACAGTATTTCCAAATCACAGGAAAGCTACAGTCTAAACAATTAGAAAAATTTAAAACAAAATCTCTCTCCACAAAACTAAAAAATGAGGCTTCAACCAAAGTTTCCAAGTGGCTCATTTGTTGGCTAAGCAAGGAAAGCTGTTTTGATGGTGAGTTAAACTGTTTGACTGCAGAAGCTAAAGAGATGTGTGTTCAGAGAAAATATATGTAAGATTAGCCCTTTGGTGAGTAGTTGCTCAAAAAGTTGAGGATGCTGAGATATAACATAATCAATTGAAAAACAAGGCAGTAAATTATTTTTGAGTAGTGATCTTTAGTTGACAAATGTAACTGATGCTATTCAGTTGCTATTTAGTCAAGGAGTTTGAAGTAACTATAGAAGTAGCCTGTAAAAGTCTGCATGGAACTACAGGTGATATTTTCAAAGAAGTTGAAATAACACCTATTCAGCACAACCTGAAGGAGAATCTGTTAAGATGTGTCACAACTGAAGTGGTGGTAAAAATATGTCTAGAGCAAAAAAAGACCTAGTTGGACATATTTACAAAGCTTATGAAACTGCAAGGTGTTTAGTCTATGGCTATTCATTATATTATTCATCAGCAGGTAGTTTATAGAAAATTTTTCAATCTATCAAGTTACTGAACCAGTAGTGTCAATTGTAGACTTCACTATTGTGGACTTAATTAACCACCTGCATTCAGTTTGGTGATTTTGTCAGAATTAGAAGCTGAATCTCCTGACTTGCTCTACCACTCACTCATTTTGATAGCTTAGCATTGGTAGAAGTTTCGCTGTGATATGTTGTACACAGGTTCCTCTTTATAAGGAACAAAATTTTTTTCTGAATGACAAGAGCCACCCTTGATTTTATTATCAAACTGAATGAATGGCTTGGGAAACTAGTTTTTGTTGCAGACTTCATGTTTCTTAATGAATTCAGTCTAAAGTTAGAAGGCAAAATAGTGCTTGTATGAACAACTTATACTTCAGTTAAGTCATTTCAGCTATAGCTAACACTGGAATCACAGTGTCAACTGCTTTATGTACAAATGTGCTGTCAAAGAGGTAAGAACTCTATTCCCACACAAGTTTTTAGCAGGTTTTCTCAGCACAAAATAGAGTTCTAGAAGCATTTTTTTGGACCTTACTGAACTACAGAGGAAATTTCCTTATTTGAAACCCTATTTAACTGTGCAACTGAGAAGCTTGTACCTAACCTGCAATTTAACTCTGCAGTGTAATGATGTGCTAAAAGGTAAGTAAGCATCAAGAGAAGAATCTAACAGAATCCCATAAATGCTTTATAAGGAATAAATATGCTTCACTAAAACAATGCTTGTGCTATCCTAAAAGAACAAATCTGAGGGTAACATACACCCAGATTTAAAACTGTACTACAAAGCTTTAGTAATCAAGACGGTATGGTATGGGCAGAAAAAGAGACAAATAAATCAATGGAACAAAACAGACCAGAAACGAACCCACACTTACATGGTCAATTAATACACGATGCTTTGGCAAGAATATACAATGGGAAAAAGATAGCATCTTCACTAAATAGTGTTGGGAAAACTGGACAGCTACATGCAAAAGAATGAAACTGGAACACTGTTTTACCCCATTCACAAAAATAAATGTGAAATGGATTAAAGAGCTAAATTATAAGACCTGACGGAAACCACAAAACTGCTAAAAGAAAACATATGCAGTACACTTTTGGACATCAACATTAGCATTTTCTTTCTTGATGTCTCTCCAGGCAAGGGAAAAAGAGCAAAATAAGCAAGTGGGACTACATGAAACTAAAAAGCTTCTGCACAGCAAAGGAAACCATCAACAAAACAAAAAGACAACCTCCTGAATGGGTAAATGCTATATCTGATAAGGGGTTAATATCCAAAATATATAAAGAACTCATAAAACTCAACACCAAAAAAACCCCAAATAGTCCAGTTAAAAAAATGGGCTGAGGACCTGAATAATGTTTCCAGGGAGGACATACAGATGGCCAACAGACACATGGAAAGATGCTCAACATCTATTGTCAGGGAAATATAAATACAAACCAAATGAGGTATCTCACTCCGGTCACAATGCCTCGTACCAAAAAAAAAAAAAAAAACAAGAAATAACAAGTGTTCGTGAGGATGTGAAGAAAAACGTACCCTTGTATACTGTTGGTAGGAATGTAAAATAGTATAGCCTGTATGAAAAGCAGTATGGAGGTTTCTCAAAAAACTGTAAATAAGAATTACCACATGACCCAGTAATTCCACTTTGGGGTACCCAAAGAAAACAAAATTACTAATTTGAAAAAACATATGCACCCCTATGTTTATTTCAGCATTATTTGCTGGAGCCAGGATATGAAAGCAACCTGTCCATCTAGAGACGAATGGAGAAGGATGTGGTACAATGGAATACAATGGAGTATTACTCAGATATAGAAAGAACTAAATCTTGACATTTGCCACAATGTGGCTGGATAGTATACTAAGTGAAATAAATCAGACAGGGAAAGAAAAATAATCATACTTCCCTTTAATGTGGGATCTGAAAAAATAAAACAAAACAGGAAAGAGACTCAAAAACACAGAACAAACTGGTAGTTGCCATAGGGGAGAGGGGTCAGGAAGATAGGAGAAATAGATGAAGGGGCTAGAGGTGTAAACTTACAATTACAAAAAAAGTAAGTTACGGGGATGAAAAGACAGCATAGGGAATATAGTCAGTAATATTGTAGTATCTTTGTATGGTGACAGATGGTAACCACACTTATTGTGGTGAGAATTTTGCAATGTATATAATTGTTGAATCACTGTGTTGTACTTCTGAAACCAATAATATTGTATATCACTTTGTATGATGACAGATGGTAACTAAACTTACCATGGTGAGCATTTAGTAATGTATACAATTGATGAATCACTAAGTTGTTCCACCTGAAACCAACATAAGATTATATATAAACTATATTTCAATAACAAAAAATACTGTGTATCAACTATACTCCAATAAAAAAGTTTAAAAATTTATATATGTGTGGACTGATTAGACAGCAATACCTGTATGTCTGAAAAGATATTTTCAAATGAAATATGGAAAATCTCATCTCAAAGTCAGTAACAGTATATAGCATCACAGTTTTGATTAGGAGTGTGTTTAGCCTCAATTAAGCAAAATGTTATTTCCCTGAAAAAGAATGTTAGTAGACCTATATTGCAAAACATTGTACTCAATTATTATATTTTGATTTTTATCAAGAAAAACTTTGTGCAAATACAGCCTCTTTTTATATAAATAACTATGTTACATGCTCAATTTTGCTTTTTGATCAGTGAAGAAAAAAAATACTATCTGGTCTTTTACAGAAAAAGTTTGCCAACCCCTACTCTAGATAGCACATAAAACTAACCAAAAGTTCTGAATTATCCTTCACTACTTGAAAGAATATAGGAAATTACTATGTTGGTGAATTTCTACACTCTCAATTAACCACTCTAATGAAGAATGGTAGTAAACAATCTAAGAGAATATGCCAAATAATTTCACTCTCTAATTCTTTTCCTTCCAACTCCAGATTGACCTTTATTTAAGTTCACATTGACAAAATTAAAGTTAATTCCATGAAAATATGAAAATCTGACTTGTGGAAAAGAGGTAATCAATAACCGTACTGGGATTTAATCCCACACATAAGACATGACATATCTGGATGTTCACAAGTCAATACTAAAGAGAAAAATAAAAACAAACCCTCTTTCATATATAAACAACAAAGAAGCCTCTCTACCTGTCTGCTGAGCTTACAGGAGTTTTAGTTCAGACATGGGCACATCTAGATCTCCATTGTTTTCCTTAGATCATTATTCTGAGAACCATCTAACCACTGTTTAAACAAAATGAGCGTGTCAAGGAAGGAGAATCAGAGGGAGACCTTAATATTTTTGGAGTTTCCTAACCTCATAACTACGATTTCTCAATTTAGTAAAACTAAACTATAGAAATTTCTGAAAGATGCTCTTTTTATAGAAACTTGAAACTTTAAGACGACTGGACATCCACAGCTTTAATAAAAACACTCAAAAAGTTATGTGAGCTAGGCAACAAACGAACAAAAGGAAGCAGTATTTTTCCATATGCTAAGTAATACTACTTGGTATTGGTAGTAGCAATCAACTTAATTTTAAAAAATACTGAAAAGCACAAAGGAAAAAGGAACTTCAGTCATAATTTCTCAAACCAAAGAAAACCACCAGTA